GTTGCCGACTGTAGTTACATCTCTGCAACAAAGGATTGAAGTTGGTTTTCCTTTCAAAAGTGACCAAACAGGTCTGCTGGTAAGGTTCCTTTTGTACTTTTACTCTCTTTTGGATTCATATATAAGCCAACTTCATTGATCTCCTCACTGCTATGTGTGAGTAATACTTGCCGCTTTGAACAGACCGCTTCTATTAGCTGCTTGACGGTGGCTCTAACTACCTCACCATGCTCATTGCAAGTTAAAGAAATGCTTCTGAAAGAGTTGTCTGCAGGTATGCTTTATTTTCATGGCATGATGATCAGAGGTGGCCAACTAGTAATGTTTTGTATCTTTCGAAATTATTTTGTGTGCTAGAGATTCTTAGACTCAAGCATTCCTGTCTCTAGGAAAACAGGGAAAGCTCGTTAGATGATTTCATTTCTACACGAAATTTCAAACATAACCGTAAGTATAGCATGCAAATGAACTATTTTCATGTCCTCCGGATTTCAGATACTATATCCCCAACTACTTTAGGAGTCTGAATGATATTGTTCTTTTTGATATATTTTCTAGTTGATGCAAGACAAATACAGGCAATAAACTAGACTTAATTGTTGAAATAAATCTAGAAATTGAATCATTTGAAACCAGGGAAGATCTCTTGATGTCTTTCTAGGAGGTTGTATTTACATTTTCATCTTATTTTGGAAAATTTGTTTGGTTCCATTTCTTTTTTCTTTTGTTCTTTTTTTTTTTCAATTGAATATACATTTGAGGCATTCTGGCAGGTTTTCATGAGGCTGAAATGAAGTCAGGTGTTCTCTGTAGTTTATTTCAGTACTCAGAACAAGTAAGCAACTCAGCAGTATGCTTTGAGGCTCTCCAGGTATTATTATGAGAAAGCTAGAAAGTCTATTGTTTTATGTGGTTTGTGAATTTGGCACTTATGATTGCGTGATTGAAGCAATTCACACTTTAAATATATTATGTTTTTCTTGATGTTGGATATCTTGTAGCCACTTTTAAAGATGATTTGCTTGTGGCTTTGATTTACTGGCTAGTTGGTTATTTACATTGGATGGAAATAGAAGCAATGACAGGAGATCTTGATAGTTGATATAGATGATGTTAACTTTAAATATATTTACTTTAAATATATTATGTTTTTCTTGATGTTGGATATCTTGTAGCCACTTTTAAAGATGATTTGCTTGTGGCTTTGATTCACTGGCTAGTTGGTTATTTACATTGGATGGAAATAGAAGAAATGACCGGAGATCTTGATAGTTGATATAGATAATGATATTTTAAGCTTTTATTGATATCAGATTAATGCTTTTTGTAACTAAGGAAGCTGTTTGTTTCTTTCAGGCGCTTAGAGCTGTGTCCCACAATTACCCAAGCGTAATGTTTTCTTGTTGGGAACGAGTTTCCACCATGGTTCATGGATTTCTAAGTGTACCTACTGCTGAGGTAAATACAAAACCATGGAAGGGGAATGTAGGCACCACAGTGGGACTTATTGGCGAAAACGTTGTTACAGCTGCAATAAAGGTAATATTTTGGTTTCTTATTTCTAGTGGATAAATAGTTTTATTGTTTTTGTGGCTAGTTTACATTCAAAAGTGAGGCGTGAGGTGAGACTCCTTCTTTGGTGCTATCACACACCATTCTTAGATGGTAACAAGGTAAGGATAGGTGCCTTGATTCGTAAGATTCCACTCAAGTTTGGAAAAGGAAAAAAAAAAATCAAAGCTTTGACATTCATAATCAAAATCCATAAATAAAGAGCTGGACCTTGAAGTTTAAGCCTCAAGGCTAAATAATTTTGCAATTGAGACGTGGCTTAATTTCTCCTTTTAAAACAAATTCTAGTTGCCATGAATGAGGATGGTTGGCAGGTATTCAAAATTTCAGTGGAAATTTTTTGCTGAGAAGAATTTTAAAGGACATTAGGCCATTATAGTATACTCTAAAATTCGAAAAGGTGATTGTGATTGTAACTCTGATCATTTGTGATTGATACCACTTTAGAAAACTGATATGATACTCTACTCTATCCATATAATTAATTACCCTATCACGACTTGTGAAAATTATCAGGTTCTGGATGTATGTCTTCGTGCAATATCTGGATTTAAAGGAACGGAGGATCTTTTCGATGATAAATTACTGGAAACCCCTTTTACTTCTGATTATATAAGGATGAAGAAAGTTTCATCGGCCCCATTGTATGAACCAGAGATCTCAGATGATACTAAAGACGAGAAAGTAGGCGAGTCAGGAATCGAGCAGTGGTCTGAGGCACTTGAGAAGCATATGCCTTTAATTTTACGACATACTTCTGCAATGGTTGGTTAACTTTGACACTCAACTTCCATTGATGTCATTACCTATGAAATAACAAAGGAGTAGTACCCCATCTTAAAATGAAAGTATTTTTGATGCTCACTTTGGTTCTTTGCTAGCTATTCAACAATTTTGACAATCTTTTTAGCTCCATTTATTAAGAAAATTGACCGAGTGTAAACGGAAGACACTTGGCCACTTGTATCATGCTTAAAGTACTAGATACTCCGTTATTGGACTTTGCGTGCTGGATTTCCACGATGCATATTCATTGCAAGTCCGTTCACTAATTGTTCCTACTATATTTAGAGCTTTGAATGTGTCCTGTGGGCCCCACCATAGTAAAACACAAAGTTTGAAAGCCGAAAAGTATTCTTCTCTAAGAGACAAGAATAATCTCATCGAATTGCATAGAAACAATATTAATCACATTGAAAAGAAAGTATAGTTATTTTTCTGTCCTTCCCCTTGCTGCATTGTTTTGATTGTAGGGCATTTAGAGGTTTTTTGTAGTAAAAGAAGGAACAAAAAAAGCGGAAAAAGAAAAAAAAAAGAAAAGGAAAATCTGAGTTCTTACTGAATATGAAACAAGTTTAAAAGGTATATGGACTTATCAATAGCCTATAATTTCCTCTGAAACTCCTCTGTTATGTTTCCTGCAAGGTGAGGGCTGCATCAGTTACATGTTTTGCGGGTATTACTTCCTCTGTGTTCTTCTCTCTAGAGAAGGAGAAACAGGAGTTGATTCTTTCTTCTTTAGTAAGTTTTGATAATGTGTGTTTGGTTATGTAATTTGACTTTTTTTGATCTTTTCACGATAAGTTTATTCATCATAACAAATCAAAATTTTGCAGTTTTATGCGGCCAAATGCGATGAGGTCCCTTCAGTTAGGTCAGCTGCTTGTAGAGCAATTGGTGTCATTTCATGTTTTCCCCAAGTGTTTCAGAGGTGATTCTAAAGTTTTGTCACGCTTTTTTTTTTTAATCCATTTGTGCTCAAACTATTGGCGGAAAAATTGATAAAAACATAAATGGTATAGTGCAGAGATCCTTGCCAAGTTCGTCTATGCAGTGGAGATCAATACTCGTGATTCCTCAGTCTCGGTATTTCTTTCTAGTTTTATGTTCTTATATAGTAAAAGTACCTATTAATTTGTTCCTCACGGGAGCAACCTTTTGCTAAAAATTTGTTGTTTCAGGTGCGAATAACTGCTTCTTGGGCTTTGGCAAACATATGTGATTCTGTCCGTTACTGTATTGATACTATTTCCTCGGAAGGGTCTCCAGGTGGGATAATGTCAAAGGAGTTATTTATTATGTTAAGCTTACATACATATATTTTTCAAAACCATTGTTGATCTGGCTATACCTTTGGCGTAGATTATAAGAGAATGTCTCAATCAGTGGCATTACTAGCTGATTGCGCCTTACGTCTATCAAATGACGGGGACAAGGTAAATATTTGTATTGAGGTTTTTGTTTCTAATTTTTTCTTTTGTACTATTTATGCCTATTTATCTCGTATTTCTCTTAACATGTCTGTCAACATACTTGTGTAAGGTTATCCTTGGTATAACTTCCTTCAGCCTTGCTTTGGATTAAATTCATAGATGCATTTCTTGTTTTTTATTGCTCATGACGAACAGATGGATCTTAGATTGCCTTTTTCTATTGTTGTTAGCTAAAAGCATGCATATATTCCCCCTGGTTCCCTTTTCTGCTTTTACCATCTGGCTTTAGGAACTACATATGACCTCGGATGAAAAAAAAAAAAAAAATTGATTGTGATATCTAAACTCAGTACAAGTACCAATTCGAAAACTCCTCTATTCTTCACCATCAGATAAAATCAAATGCTGTGAGGGCTCTTGGAAATCTTTCAAGATTTATTAGATGTACACGTCTATCTGGTTTTCAAGACAAGATAATGGCCGAAACCATCTTATATGTGAAGTCCAACAGTCCTGAGGAGTTTCCGTCCACTAGTGACTGGAAAGGTAGTAATAGCTCTGCATCAACATCATGTTGCCCAGCCTTTTTTGTTGATCCACGTTGGCTTGAGAGAACGGTGCAGGCATTTATTTCTTGTGTTACAACTGGGAATGTTAAGGTACAATGGAATTGTCTTTCTGATTAGACATGAGTGGATAAGAACGTGTTATCATTGTAATGATTGCATTTTTTGCTCTGTGCTTAAGTAGGACATTGTGTTTTACAGGTTCAATGGAATGTTTGTCATGCATTGAGCAAACTGTTTCTAAATGAGACATTGCGACTGCAAGAAATGGACTGGTATGGGGATTCTGATTTTTGCACGGTTTCTTTAGTTTACTTTTCCTAGTCTCCGTCTATGATTCTGATTATTTATTTACATATATTGATGTATGAAGCATCATACATGACTGTTTATTTAAGAAAGATTATGTGATTACTTTCTTAATTCTAATAGATAGAAGCCTTGATCTGAACAAGTAGTTTTCTTTCCCTCCTTGGTGGAATCCTGGATTATCTGTCTAAAGTTGTAGCCAATGTTTTATATTGTCTTTTCTCCCTGTCCCATCTAGTTCCTGCTAAACATGAGGATGCCAATTCTCAGTTGGTTTTTTTTGCATGTCAGGATGAACTGTGGCTCTAAAAGATAAATAGAATAATCACGTAAATTGTGGAACATATACCCCTGAACTGTTTAGATTGGCATACTTAATAATGCAAAATAAATTATGTGTACTTTTTTTGTAGGGCTCCATCAGTGTTTGGTATTCTTTTATTGCTCTTACGTGACTCGTCTAACTTTAAGATCAGGATACAAGCTGCTGCAGCCCTGGCTGTGCCATCGTCTCTACTTGGTGAGCAGTAGGTTTAGTGCACCTTTTGTTCGCAGATTGATTTTATTAAGACCTCATTACATCTTAGTTAATACCTGCTTGTTTCGTTATAATGTGACGTTTCATTAGAAGGTAACTTCGATCTCTCTTTTGGATTATTACAGATTATGGAAATTCCTTCTCCGATGTTGTTCAGGGTTTGGTGCATTTAGTAGAGAATCTTGATAAAGACCAGATTTCAGCACCATCAAGTTTTAAATACAGGATTGCCCTTGAGAAGCAGGTCAAGAATCTGAATGGTTTACATATGAGCCGTTATGCGGTTCATATTCTTGGACTAGGCATTTATATGTGCATTGCGCAGAGTAAATAAGATAATGGAAACATAGACTATGGATCTTGCTTATGATTTAATTTAGTGAAAATTGTTTCAGTAAGATAAAGCTAGGTTGTGAGGAACAAATTTGGTTGCTGACATGTAGACTTTGGTGATGGTTTCATTATCGTATTCCAAATATCATGACAATACCCAACTTGCATACACATTGCCATATTAAGATATTTAAATTCATATCTCTTCCAATAATCACGATTGTACAAATCCCGCTATCGTAACAAAAAAAAAAAAAAAAAGATCCCTTCTCAGTTCACTTTTAGCCTTGGCATCTAACCCCATTTGGAGGTTGAGATCCAATGTGGATTGTAAAATTTTGAGAAGTTAGTTTTTAATATTTTTTTTTTCAAGTATTTGATTGACTCCGTCTCTCTGGACCACTAAATTAATCTGTTGTTGTTATTGGTTCAGATGACCTCAACTTTGTTGCACGCTCTTAGCTTGTCTTCCAGCACTCATCATGAACCTCTCAAAGATTTTTTTATAAAAGTAAGTATTTCTTAAATGGCCTGTTTGCTTCTTCTAGTTTTGGATTCATATGAAGTTAAGTTGGTCATAGGTTATGTTTTTACTTGGAAATAGCTTATGAAAGAATGTTGTGTTTAAAAATTTGTATAATTAGCTTGGTCGTTTCTTTTTAGTGACAAAGAAAGTTCCATTCATCTGTTGTGTTGACTTGAGTCCCTGAAAACTGCGTTTGCAACCATGCTGGTTAATTTTTAGAAAGCACATATCAAAGTGAAAGGTTGAATTCTCCACGTTGTGTTTGGGTGATTCTATAGTAGATTCAATGCGTTATCATATTTCTGTTGTAAACCTCGGCGAGAAACGTTCTTATTGATTCATTTTGTGTTTGTTGCGCGCCATTGTAGAAAGCCTTGTTTCTCGAGCAGTGGTTGAGGCTGCTATGCTCGTCATTCCTGGCATCAAGTTCTGAACCTTTAGTTGTGAACGAGTCCGTTAGAGACCAAAAGAGAGAGATGATACGCAAAGCAATTTGGTCGTTAACAGAATTGTTTGAAGGGCGGAGGCAGTACGCAATTGCCAAGAAATTTGACAAGTTGGAGGAGAACATTCAGTAAATTGTAGTCTATTCATTCAGGGTTTTTATTTTTATTTTCTTCAGTATATATTTTCCCATGCCATGGCCGGCCAAAATGTTTGTGCAGGCAGAGGCAAGGCAAGCATGGCTTATGAGTGTTACGTTGTTAATAATTGTCATTTGTATTTTTTGAGTTTGATAATTTTAGGACTTCTAATGCTACTGTGTCTTGCACTTCTGATCTGTGGGAGGGGTGTAATAAAACTGGATATTTATGTGTCACAGCGCACTACGTTGATGACGATTGGGTTTTACAAAAAAGAATAATTAGTTTTCGTTTATGTCCATATCCTCATAACGCAACAGCTATTTTCAGTACAATAATGGAAATTTTTGAGTTTTATGGGATAGAAGATATGTTTTAACAATTATTTTTGATAATGCGTCAGCTAATACAGCTGCAATTAATCTGTTTAAACGTAGTTTGAAATCGGCATTTGGAGGGGAAATTTTTCATCAACGGTGTGCATGTCACATAATTAATTTAGTAGTTCAGGCAGGAATTGAACATATCTCTGCTAATCTTACAAATATTAGAGAATCATTATCCTTCATATCTAGTTCTGGAGCTCGGCTCCAAGAATTCAAACAATATTGCAGAAATAGTCAGATGCGCCCAAGAAAGTTTCCAATTGACGTGAGACATAGGTAAAATTCAACATATTTAATGTTGAAGGCAGCACTCCCATATTCACAGCTTATAACGACATACGTAAACAGTAAGAATGATCAAATTTTAATTTTCGATCCTGATTGGCAGATTGCTAAGTATTTTTTTTAAATTTTTAGAAGTTTTTTACAATGCTACTGAATTACTTTCTGGAGTTTATTATCCTACTGCACATTTAGCTTTACATCAACTATTTAATATTTCAGAAACATTTTCTTATTATAGGGATACACAACTTTTTGGAAATATAGTTAAGTTAATGGAAAATAAATTTAAAAGTTATTGGTCAGGTTGTCCTATGTTATATGCATTGGCAACCATTTTAGATCCTAGGTGCGGAGTAGATGGAACTGAATCATTGATGACTGCTACCGCAGAGAATTTAAAAATAGATATGCAACTAAGTATTACTGACGCTAAGAAAATGTTAGAAAAAGTTTTTAGTTTGCATGAAGCAAAATATAGCACAGGTCAAAAAGAACAGGGAACTTCATCATCAACTACCAGTTCGGGGCCTAAAGGATCGTCGTGGAGTTTCTTGAAAAAGAAAGAGAAAACGGCAGGATCGTCCTCAACACAAGCGTCTACGGAACTAGTCAAATATTTTGAAGCAAATTTTGTAATCGATGACGACAAACGTTAAAGACTGGGAAGATGTCAGAAGACGAAAACAACAATACACAGATAATTCGATGCAAGAATATTTTTCTAACTTAGAAATAACAGAATCTTCTAGAAGCACTTAGGTTTGTAATTTACTATTCCTAGCTACTGCACTCTTTTTTCCTTCGCTAAGGTTTTAACCCGATCTCCCCACAGGTTTTACTTAGCAAGGTTTTTAACGAGTCAGTCATTTACGTGTACTCTTATTACGTCAATTCAATAAAATCACATCTTTTGGGACATTTGATATTTTTTTTAATTAAATTAAAAAAAAATAAGGGCCGGGGCCGGCCCGTGAAGAGCTTGGGCCCAGGCCCGGCCCTGGCCCTTATGGACTAGGGCCAGGGCCTGGACTGAGCCTGAGTTTTTCTTCTCAGGCCCGGCCCTGCACTGTGCAGGGTGCCTGGCACGACCCAGGCCCGTGATGGGCCTGGGGTCAAGCGTGCCGTGCCGGCCCGGCACGGCACGTTTGACACCACTATTTGAGTATAGTTTGAGTAGAGACTCTAATTTGAGTTTGTGTTTAGATGTGTACATTGAGTTATGATTTGAATTGAAAATCTATTTGAGTTTATGATTGGGTGAGTCAAAACTTAAATTTGTATTTGGATAGTATTTTAATAAAAACTCAATGGTGATGGAAAATTTTAATAGGGTATATGGGTGAGATTTTATTTGTCTCTTCGTTGTGAACGCATAGGAAAAAAAATCATCTCAATCAGAATTAAAATGAAAAAGTTATGATATTTTTAAAAATAGAAAAAATACTGTTCATTAATTTGAGTTTAAGTTTAGAAACTTGAGTTGAAAGGGGAACTTGAATTTAGACCCCGTTCATTTCACCGATTTAAGTTTAAAATTTGAGTTTTGTTATTTTTTTATTACAGTAAAAAATTTTCACATAAAATCACATTTTAATTCGAATTAAAAATTCAAATCAGCGAATTAAACGGGTCTTTTAGATTTTAGTTCTAAATTTACGTTAAAATTTAAGTTCAAACTCAAATTTTATAAAAAAATATAAACTTAAATAAAATTATAATTTAAATTTAATTTTTTTTTTTTAAGTTATGTGTACATAAACAAGCCCAATATAATTATAAGGATAATCTTGAGAACATGATGTCACGTGACCATGACCAAATACTAATGTTGATCAACTCTTTATTTTCAAGCTGAGAAAAACAGAGAGAAAAAGCGACGTGCGTCGTTTGACTCACTAAACAAAGGGAGAAACTTGTTTTTTTTCCCTTAAAAAAAGAAGAAAAGGAAGAAGGAAGAAGCAAAGGCCACGTGGACCAGTACCATTACCAACTTTAACACCCCTTTTCTAATATCATTTGTGTTTTTGTCTCGTCTTGTGTTTGCTATGGTTCTCTTGTCCTGTACAAAGTCTAAATTCTTCTTCTGTATATCTAGCGAGTAGCAACTACCTATTTGATTTTGAATTGAATGGAAGTTTGCTCCTTCTAACATTCATATCTACATATGTGTTGTGTTTTTCCATCACTGTAGATATAGAATATAGAGATCTCTGTTTTTCCATCTAATCTATAAAATTACTTAATTCCACTGGCCAAGACACAAGGACTAAAAATAAATTACTACAAAAAAGTATTATAAATAAATAGAGGAGAAATTTATGGTAGGGGATGTGCTTTCTCTCTACCTACAATTCAGTGGATGATTGTGGTCAAACTTCTTGTGGGGCTCATGGTTATACAACCAAAGTCTAAAAACAAAGCACCTTATTCCGCTCTCTTCATTTTTTTTCTTTTCTAGAATTCGTTTTAAAATGATTTTATTTTTTGTATAAAAATAAAAATGAAAACGTTTTCAATCTCAGATAGAAATTATTTTTAAAAATGCGTTTAATAATTTTATCAAGATATTATTTTCAGTATAAAAAATTCATTAATGTCTCCCTCTCTCTTTCTCCACTCGAGAGAAGAGAAAACGGAAACAAAAAATGAAAAATGACTTTTAGTCATTTTTTATTTCTCTCATATTTTATACTAAATTAAAAAATTGTTTTTATTTTTATTTTTTTATCTTTAATTGTGCCAAACACCGTTTCTTTCTCCCGTTTTAATTTTTTTTCTCAAAAAACGTGAAAAATAAAAACAAAAATAACTTCAATCACAGCCGATATTTGTCTCTCTTAATGGGTTAGAACTCAAAACATTGAAAAACTTTTTTTTTTCGTTTATTTTTTCTCTGAAAGATTCAAGGCATGTGTTAGCCCATCAACTATGAAAAATTTCATGTTGTCTTCTTTTCCCTAAAAGATCCACCGCAGGTGTTGCCCATCATCTATGAAACAATCAGCCTGAAATCTCCAGTTACCCAACTCCATTGCCAACAAAAAAAAAAAAAAAAAAAAAATCATTTTTAATCAAGTCCTAATATTCAAAATTTGGAATCTGGGTTAACTTGAAATGATTTTTAATCAAGTCCTAATATTCAAAGTTAGAATCCTGGTTAACTTGAAATCGTAAACAAATTAGATAAAAATATCTAAAAAAAAATGATAAGAAAAAATGAACAAGTAAATCAATGACGAATCGAGTCATAATATTTAAAATCTAGAATATTGGTTAACTTAAAATCGTAATAAACTAGCAAAATGGCCGATGTGTTTAACTAAAAACTTTGTTATTCCTCGTCTACTCTCTTATCATCTCAACATTTAAAATAACCAGTTTTGACATATCAGAAACATGAGCTCTTCACCAAATTTAGATTTAAATAATCAATAGTTCTTGACACTGGAGAACGCCGGTAAAATCTTCCTTACGCGGTCATGTTTCTTGCAGATCTGGATCTTCAATGGTTCTCGATGACGAAGGACGCCGACGAAATCTTCTTCACGCGGTCATGATTCTTGTGGATCTTAATCATCAATGGTTCTTGACGCTGAAGAATGCCAGCGAAATCTCAGTTACGTGGTCATGATTCTTGTCAGTGTGGCAATCAGCTACCAGCTGCTCGCCATGGGCTCGATCACATCAAATCTAATGTGTGAAGTTTGCATTTCTGTTACAATCGTCATCACCATCATATCTCTCTCTCCGTGTTCCAATCACTGACCAACTGCCTCCGAACAACAAGATCTAGCCTTGACGTCGATGCTCTAAGAGCTCCGCTCGCCATGGGCTCGATCACATCAAATCTAATGCGTGAAATTTGCATTTCCGTTACGATCTTTATCACCATCAGATCTCTCTCTCCGTGTTCCGATCTCCTGTCATCATAGTTAAAGAAAACTAGTGGTCCTTCATTTTTTGGGGCAGGAAATTAACTAGAAGTTTTTTTTTTTTTTTTTTTTTTTTTTTTTTAGGGGGATGACATTGAAGCTTTGTACAATAATAACACCAATGAAGAGAAACCGGAAATTTGGCTTCAATCCTTCGGGGGTTGGAGCAATTTAAAGCTCTAATATTTGCCATAAACCCTCCATCCCACACAAAATCTTATTAAAAAAGACGGTAAATAGCAGTTTTGGGTATGTGGTTGTGTTTTGGATTAGGAAACCTAGAAAGAGGCCGAAGAGCAAAATGCAAACAATGAGGAGGAAAAAACATTTTTTAGCCAATCAGAAACTAACACGTGATTTCTAACTGATTAAATTTGGTTAACAGCAAAAAAAAGGTGGTGGAAACTCTTAACTGATTAACAAACTCATGACGAAAGCAATGGCGAGAAGTTGCATTGTTTGTAATTGTATGCCCAATAATCTTAGAAGACAAAGGAAAGGGGGTTTGGTTTGGTTTGGTCGTAATCTCAACATCATTAGAGATGGAGAGTGAATTGAGGCTGGTGGGTCCCTGCCCCACTTCATGACCGAATCCAAAACAACTTTCGGCTCAGATCCTCCTCTAATGCCGGATTTCTCTCTCTCTCCCTCTCTCCCCACCATTCAACTAAACAGATTTTACCCTTCTTCTTCTCCCTTTCCCTCTGTCTTTTTACCCTTTCTCTTCCCCAGTTTTCCTACTCTTCCCTCGTTTTTGTCTTTATTTATTGTTACAGTGCATGTGCATGCCTTCTTTTTGAAAAAATAAAAAAAAAGAAAAAGAAAAACTCAGATGCCAAGGAATACTTCTGCTTTATATAATATATTATTTTTTTAATTGCTACAGTCCTGAGAATTACTTACTTGCAGGTTTGCTTTCTTCTCTTTTCTTATCTTCTTCTTCTTTTACAGTGGGAGCCTCTTCGTCTAGTACACCAAACATACGTATAATACTTGGGTTTCTCTTTTCCTGGCTTTAATAAAAGTAAGCTTTTGCATATACATATACGACACAAAAAGAGAGAGAAAACAAATACAGTGCAGACAGGAAAAAAAAAAAAGAAAAAGAAAAGAAATGGAAAGGACAAGATAAGGAAAACATAAAAAAATGTAGACATGTTTCAGTTTTTGAGAGACGAGACGAGAGGAGCTGAAGCTTCGTTTTTTTTTTCCCTTTCTTCTGAACCAAAAAAAAAAAAAAAAAATTAATGAACTTGGTATTCTGCTGCCGAGAACTGGTATGTTTTGTGGCTGTATCATGAATATTCTACTTGTTTCTCAATTTCTTTTTTTTGTTGTTGTTGTTGTTGTTGTTGTTTTAGGTGATTTACAACATTTCTGAGTCTGACATCGACCTTTTTGACCAATTCGATGCCACTTGTCTTCACTATCATTATTTTTTTTTTTAAAATATTTTGTCTTTCTGTGTTCTCGTTTGAATTACTTACATGTGTTGAAGCTTGATCTCTTCTTTTTCTCTTCTTTTTTTTTTTGGTTTTTAAAAAAAAAAAAAAAAAAGTGGGATCTTGGATTGCCTTCCATTATTTACTCGTCTTCCTGGTAAGAGGTAACTCTATTTAATCAACCCGTAGTGCCAATCTTCCATCTATTTTTTTCCTTTATATTTCATCAGAGTTGTTGGAATGTTTACGATTCGGTTAATTAAAAGATCCTTACTTTCTAATTCAGCCAAAAAAAAAAAAAAAAACAAAAAACAAAACTTGCTTGTGGGCATTTTCAGTTGTTCCTCTCCCAAGTTTATCTTTTTTTCTTGTTTTCGCAAGTTTATCTTTTTTTTTCCCCCTGTTTTCTCAAGTTCTTCTTGTAAATCCCTTCTTAGTTCCCCTCTGTGATTTCTGTTTATTTGTAGGACAAGCACTAAAGATGCGTGTAATATCTGTTTTTGCTACGATATTATGACACATGTTGTTATGTATTAGACTAGGTTCTTTTTTCAGTCGTGGGGTCACTGATATGATTCTTTTTGTTCTGTTATGTTGATTGTTTAGGAAGCAAAAGTGAGGTTGTGGTGTTGATTTGAAAGCGAAAGAGTAGTGTCAAGTGTGAAAGTAAGTAGGATGGCCCGGGATTACAACAATGGATCGCCAAAGCATCACCATCTCGAGTCAAGGAGGAAGCGGCTCACTTGGATTTTAGGAGTTAGTGGGCTTTGCATTTTGTCTTACGTTTTGGGATCCTGGCAGAATAACAAGTCTCCAACACCTCCATCACAGACTTACAATAGGATTGGTTGTGATGAGGCTGATAGCCGTGTCGGATCATCATCATCATCATCCTCGGCCAAATTGGACTTCGAAAGCCATCATACCGTCAACATCAGCCAATCGGAGGGAATCAGAAAGTTGCCGCCTTGCGACATGTCGCTGAGCGAGTACACGCCCTGCCAACACCCTCCGAGGGGGAGGAAGTTCGACCGCAACATGCTCATGTACAGAGAGCGGCATTGCCCTGCCAAGGAGGAACTCCTGCTTTGCCTCATACCTGCTCCCCCAAAGTACAAAACACCTTTCAAGTGGCCTCAGAGCAGAGATTTTGCTTGGTACGACAACATTCCTCACAAAGAGCTCAGCATTGAAAAGGCTATTCAGAATTGGATTCAAGTGGAGGGCGACAGGTTCAGATTCCCCGGGGGAGGCACCATGTTCCCTCGCGGCGCAGACGCCTATATCGACGACATTAATGAGCTCATCCCCCTTACGACCGGAGCTATCCGAACCGCCATTGACACGGGCTGTGGTGTAAGTGATATTATTGTTTCTTACCTTGGCTATTTATTTATTTAATTTTTTTTTGTGGGTATAAAAAGAATAGAATTGCTAATGTGTTTGCCCTTGTTGACCATGTCCTGGCTGTTGTGGGTAAGGTAGCGAGTTGGGGAGCTTATTTGTTGAAGAGGAACATTCTAACAATGTCATTTGCACCAAGAGACACCCACGAAGCACAAGTCCAGTTTGCATTGGAAAGAGGAGTTCCTGCAATGATTGGCATCATGGCTTCCCAGAGGATTCCTTACCCAGCGAGGGCTTTCGATATGGCTCACTGTTCCCGCTGCTTGATACCTTGGTCTCAGTATGGTATAACCTCTCCAACAATTATCTGTCCTTTTTTTTTTTGGCTGCCTGAAGAGCCATCGGATTGTGATTCAAGCAAACGATATTATTATTTATTGATCTACATGTGTCTCAACAAAAGAGAAGTGTCGCATGGGCAAAAAGTAGAAGAACTGGATCATACTTTGTTATGTGAGGGGTTTAATGAGGTAGTAGTTATTGATAAACAACACTGACTTTTCGAGTTTTTTTCGCAGATGGTCTTTATCTTATTGAGGTGGACAGAGTTCTAAGGCCAGGTGGTTATTGGATTCTTTCCGGACCCCCAATCCACTGGAAAAAGTACTGGAGAGGGTGGGAAAGAACCCAGAAAGACCTTAAACAAGAGCAAGATGCCATTGAGGATGTTGCTAAGCGGCTTTGCTGGAACAAAGTGGTTGAGAAAGACGACCTTTCAATCTGGCAAAAGCCCATCAACCACCTTGAGTGCGTCAAGAGTAGGAAGATTTACAAAACCCCGCACATATGCAAGTCCGACAACCCTGATGCCGCTTGGTACACGCTCCTAACTCCTACTTCTACCTCTGCCTCTACTCTAGTTGTCGGCAAAAACAAAATACAATTGAAAGTATTCCCTGTTAGCCAAGTTACATAGTGATTCTGTTCGTTTCTAATTGGTGTGCTCGATTTTATTATTTATTTTTTAATATAATTAATTAAAAAAAAAGGTACAAAGATATGGAAACTTGCACCACCCCACTGCCAGAGGTAAGCAGTCCTGATGAAGTGGCGGGTGGGGAGCTGGAGAAGTGGCCGGAGCGTGCATTTTCCATTCCTCCTAGAATCACCAGTGGTTCAATACCAGGCGTGACTCCTGAGAAATTCCGGGAGGACGATCAAGTGTGGAAAGAGAGACTGACACATTACAAGCGGATTATACCTCTGCAACAAGGAAGGTACAGGAACATCATGGACATGAATGCTCATCTCGGAGGATTTGCAGCGGCATTGTCAAAGTATCCGGTGTGGGTTATGAATGTGGTGCCTGCGAATTCGGATCAGGATACCCTTGGTGTGATCTACGAGCGTGGTTTTATCGGGACGTACCAGGACTGGTGCGAGGCATTCTCTACGTATCCAAGAACCTATGACCTCATTCATGCTGGTGGGGTTTTCAGTATATACCAGGACAGGTAAGATGAGTATTAACTAGCTAGTTGTAATATCTGGTGTTTAATGAAGGAATGAATGACTCGTGATATCTGACGTGCAGGTGCGACATCACACACATTCTGGTGGAGATGGACAGAATTCTGAGGCCAGAAGGGACGGTTATATTCAGGGATACAGTAGAGATTCTGGTGAAGATACAGAGCATTGCAAAGGAGATGAGATGGAAGAGCCAAATAATGGACCATGAGAGTGGGCCCTTTAATCAAGAGAAAATTCTTGTTGCAGTCAAAACCTACTGGGCTGCTCACAAACAGCACTAGAGCCGAGACTGCCGCAAATTACAATTGGTGCAATTTGTATATTAGTATTGTTTCCTTTTCACAAAGGTCAGTTTTGTCCAATGCGAATGTGGAATGGTTTTTCCTGCTACGTTCGTTTTTGTCATCGGATCAGATTGTTGCCGGTAATTAATACTACTGGCTATGGCTCATCTAATTTTCGAAGGGGATATATATTGAACAGTATTACGGGTGGTCATCGAATTTCTCTGTTGTTATTATTCTTTTTTTTTTTTTTACTCAACATGATCTGTCCTTTATTTATTTATTTTTTGTTCAATTTTGTTCTTGTCTCACCAAGTAGTAGAAATCACATGATCATGATTGCGCGATGACTATGCATCACTTAAATTTCTCTGATAGCCATTTTATGTGCAAAATTTTATGAAAATTCATTAAAAATTATAGTGATTTAGAGAACTTCCAGAACTTTGAAATAATACGTGACAGTTCATAGAGAAAATGTTGTCAAATTCTTAGATGAATACTCTTCTTGAAGAAGTTAGCAAAACAAGAACAACAACAAAATTTAACGTGATTCGATCCAATTTGAATCTACATCTACGCCATATTTTTATCCCTCAATCTTAGAATTGATCAACCGTTGATTTTTATCTTTTAAATGACAAATTTAACCTTTCGGGATTATAGAAGATCTTGCACATAAAAGATAAATAAATTTTGTTTAATTTTATCCGATACTTGCTCTTTTATTTTTCTATGTTTTTTGACTTTTTTCTGCTCTAGCTATTAACTAAATAGTTATCTAATTTAGAAAATGTCTTTCACACTAGTTAAAGTGTTATAGACTTAAAAAGAAAAAGGGATGGGAAGATCATTGTTTAGTCAAAAGGAATTTGTTGAGGTTTCCTTTGTTTTGTTTGTCTTTTTCCTTTCTTTCTTCCTCTTTTTTTTTTTTTTTTTTTTGGTTCGGTTCCAATGGTTGAAACATTAATAATATCAAGAAAATGGCAGATCTGCGAGCGGCTGACGAGTTCAACTTTTTCGATGTTTCTCGAGTCTCTCTCTCTCGCTTGACTTATTGATAGATTCTTTATACGTCCTAACTTGGAAATTTCTTAGCTTATGTCATCTGAAATCTTTGACCATAGAAGAATCATTTTGGTAAACTGAATGGATGTCTTTTCTTTTCTTTTCTTTTTTTTTTTAATGACCAATAACTTGGTTAAGAAGAAGAAGGTAATTTTCAATTTTAAATTTTGTCAGTTCAATTTTAGCCTCAAAAGGCAAGTGATTTCAGTATTCAGATTCAGATAAATTTGTTCTATTATTGCCTGTTAAAATGTAGCTTTTAAATTTAAAGGAGAATCCATGTCCACTGCTTGGCATGAAAATGCAGGTTTAATAGTTTAATTTTTCCTAAACTACTATTATTTTGATTTATTAACACTTCTCACTCTTCACTTGGTGAATGAATCCTTTGATCTTAAATAGCTTGTAGCTTACGTGGAAGAAGATAACAACTTTGTAGGAAATGTTTGTTGTTATATGCTCGCTTTTGTCATCAGATGTTTGCTGGAAATAAGTAGTACTGACGATCTAAGGGGCTATATATTTGACAGTGTTACGGGTTGTCACTAAAGCACGAAACGTCCATAATACCCCTCTTTGGAGAGTTTACCAAAAGAGAGAAATGTAAGAACGAGGGCGATAGTGGAAATTAAAGAACCTGCTGTCAAATCGCACAAAGTATTTGAAATATTATTCAGTGACTCATCATTTTCTTCTGCCAAACAAAGACGAAAAACTTTCTTCTGACCACCTCTCTCTCTCTCTCCCTTTTTTCCTTATTATTAACTGAGACGTTTTCGTGCATGATGGACAATATCATGGTAAGTGAAATATTAGGTCCACTTGATGTCACTATTTATTCTCTAGTTGCCATATGTTCTACTCAAGAAAAATAAAGCCTGATTGTGAACCTTTTTTCTCAATTTTATTACAACTCTGTATTTTTGAATATTAAAAATTTTACATTGTACTATTTTCTACTTTCCTATTTGTATCATTTTTTAAAGGTTAGAGCTATAGCTTTGTACACAGACGATTTTTCTTCTCTGTCTGTTTTGTCAAAATTTTGTTAAGTTGGAATCACAAAATTCTCTCCTCATTCATGGAATGGAATATTCAACTTGGTATGTTTTTAAGACCAAAATAAATAATAGTTAAAATAACTTTTTATTTATTTAGTATCCTGTAAATTTCATTATTCTTTGAAGACTCAGTTTATCATTTAGCAAAACTTTAGCATAGGGTGTAAGGTTTAGGGTTTGGGGTTTGAGGTTGGGCATTAAGGGGGTTCGGCGGTTTTAGGGTTAGGGTAGGGGGTTTGGAGGTGGAGGTGTCGGGGTCGGGGTTCGTGGCTCAGGGTTCGGGGTTTGGGGTTTGGAGGACGGGTACACTGCGTTGCACTGTGCGGCGGAGTCGGGTCATGGGGATGTGATCGAGTTGTTGGTTAAGAAAGGTGCTGAGGTGGAAGCGAGGACAAAGAAGGGCGTGACTGCGATGCAAATAGCCGAGTCGTTGCATTATGTTGGAATAGCGAGGAGACTTGTTCATGGTGGGGCATCTAGAGATGATAATGTTAACAATCCAAGTGTTGTTTCAGCTGGTTATAACACTACTAGTTCACTTGGATTTGGAGACAAAAATTCTAAGGTGGATCATTTTATGGAGGGAGAAAAGGGAGGATTATTGAAGAAGAAGAAGAAGAGGATTCGCGGGTTTAGGGTTTAGGTAGATTGCTTTGCGGTAGCTTTGGCTGTGGTCAATGCACTACTTTTAAAGCTGAATCCCTTGATTTACTGGCTACCCATATATGTGGAACAACTTGTATAATAATCCACATATGTTCATCCGAAATCTATATACACACACATATTTATATGTTATTATACTTGAGAAATTAATTCAACGTCATTTTGCGCGTGAATTAATAGATCGAGCTCCCTTCACGTACTCTAATAGCTAGTTAGGTCTTGTTTGACAATATTTACAATTAATTACGCACATAAGAGAATTAAGTGTTTTTTTTTTTTCATATCTTGTACCATTACACACTGTGTCTCTTGTCACGTTAACTAGAAAAAAAAAAAAATTCGTTATGTTTATATCATTACGTGGTGACAATATTAAACCACTACAAATACTTAATTAGCATTGGGTACGCATGGTATTCATGAATGCTGGCTATGAAAGGGTGTTACAGAACTAAAGACTACCCAAAATACAATTATCCAAACCTAATTGAAAACGATAATATGAACAAATATCTAAGTATTCTATTCACGCATATATTAGGTATTTAAAGCTATATCAGAGAAGAATCAAAAAATATATTATAGAATAGTTGACATTTTATCACCCTTAACGTGATACGCCCTTATAGCATGCTTCGTGTGCAAAATTAACAAGAAGCCCAATCTATTTAATAAACATTATTCCCAAGTATGTCGTGTGGAAGAGCTTGATATCGATCAAGATCCACATTGTCAGCAATATGGATCTTATAATATAAATTTATTGATCTGTGGTCTTGGATTCTTCTTGTGGTTGAAAGAAAAAAAAATGCTTTAGATAAATCAATTATATAATCCCACTCAGCACACAAAATAGGAGATAGAAAAGGAACGAATCAAACACAAAAACTGAATACTCGCTAAGTTCTAGGCACTCAAATCTGCCAAGAACATATTAGTTTCAGCCTATGGAGAACAAACCTTTTAACTCCAAACAATTTGCTCTTATGCATATGAACAATTAGTGACCTCAATGTTGTCCATTTCAGAGGATTATGAAGTAGAACTTGGAAACCGAAAGGCATTTTCATCAAGACTCGAGAAAAAGGAAGACAAGATCTAAGCATATCCCCACACGGACCTAAGCAAGCCAAAATTGTGCTCTTGAATGCCGAATGTGTTAGGAAATTATATTTCCTAATAATTATTATGGGCCACATATTATAACAATTATATTAAACTATTTAATTAATTGGGCTAATTAAGTGATCTAACAGGGTATGGGCTGAATGGGTGGATACC